AAAAAAAAAAACCCAAACCTGAAAACCAAAGTCTGTTATAATACACCACTACTACCGTTAAATTCATAGCTTAATGTTTTTTGCCATTAACCATTAACCTGGAAACGAAGAGAGCAAAAAAATCCTTTTACTCCAAAGCTACATTTTACCCATAAAATTCAACAACAAAATTAAATTTCCCAAGAAGACAAGTTATACTGAACTATAAAGCTCAATCATAAAATAAAAGTGCAAATAATTGAGCATATTATATGCTAAGTAACCACAATTATAAACAGATGTGTGAGTGTAAGGATGTGAATACTGTTTACATACTGTATAAAATAAGGAATGCAAGAAAACAAAATCAGACATCTTAATTAAATGTAATCTGCTGAAACACAGAAGGCCTCCAGGCAGAGAGCACTTCCTCCATAACAACTTGGATTTCGTAAGAATATTTCCAAATTTAAGATGTAAGCAGCTACAAACCTTATGAAAAAAAAAAAATAATCTCAGTCATCCAGAATATGCTAAGTGTTGCAATGTTGTATTTCTAAACAAAAAAACCAAGATAGCCTCCTCTCATTTTTTTTTTTTTTTAAAGAAAAAAGGTGTTACTTTCTGCTAATGCCTGCATCATAGAAGATTTTGCATTATAAAAGATGTTATTTGAAATCTAGTAAGAGTCTATCTACTCTGTAATCAATGACATTGTAGAAAACGCAAAAGCAAAGCAACAGTAAATCAATAAATCTTGACACCCTTGTATTTCTAAGGCAATGTTACATTCAGAATGTCTATAGGACAATTTTTTTCCAAAACCACATGGAAACGAGGGCACCTAGACATTAGGTTCCGTATTGTTCCTTCTATGTTCCTGCTCAACATAAATAGCTCCTTCCCAGGCTTCAGTGAGGTTGATGGACTAACAAACACTTCTGTTCAAATGCCAGGGAAAGGGAATAGGGGCAGTACAGGGGCTCAACAAGGAGGCAGGAAGGGAGGAATGAATCAAAGTAGAAAACAGGAAATGTTAGTCCTCAAAGCTCTGGAAAAAAAAAAAATAAAAAGTTCTTACAGACTCTTTCTGCAAGAATTTCCATTTTTAAGTTCAGGAATAATAACACCTGTCTATAAATTTTATGCAAATTTCTAGATCACAGAATCACAGAATTGCAGGGGTTGGAAGGGACCTCCAGAGATCATCGAGTCCAACCCTCCTGCCAAAGCAGGTTCCCTACACCAGGTTGCACAAGTAGGTGTCCAGGCAGGTCTTGAGTATCTCCAGAGAAGGAGACTCCACAGCCTCCCTGGGCAGCCTGGTCCAGATAAAATTACAGTACCCTGAACCTTCTTTTTACTTCATTAAAAAGAAAAAAAAAAAAATAAAAAAAAATCTTACAAAATGATGGTGAAGAATCTTTAGAAGAATCCTAAATTTGGGGGAGTTTCCAGAAGGGGCATAAAAGCAATTGTAAAATACACCTTTTCTGCTACATACAAAATAATTTCCAACAATAACATGAACGTTCTTTACTGTGCTTATGATGAATAAGCTCTATATCCATCACTTATTTCTAACGTTCAATTAAGTCAAGTAAGTAACAGTGTAGGTTAAAAAGCTGAAGTCTGAAAGTCCCGTTTTCACAACACTTTGCTTTGGGTAAAGGTGATTTCAACACAAGCCACATTCAGATTTCTGCATCTGGGACTTCAAATGATTTAACCAAACTTCCAAATTTCAGGAACAACCATGTGAAAGCTTTGGTCTTCAAGAAAAAAGAATGGCTCTGATAACTACTTATCCATCTCACGCCTAAGTTCAGTATTGTTTGTGACCAGGTATAAATTCAGTAATGTTTGTGAGAAGATAGACAACAATAGCAGAAGTTTAGCATGAGCAGTTAAAGAATTCCTCCCCTTTAGTTTCCAAAAACAACAGACAATACAAGATTTTAATTCTTAAATTTATTTTTAGCAGGATGTGTATACTAAGGGATGGTGACATCATTAGAAGATAGGTCCAGGGCCACCACCTGCAACAGAAGCTAGACAGATGTTAAAGAAAAATGACTTAAGAGTTAAAAACAATACTACTTACCCACAGTAGAGTTATGAAATTCACCTACTAAGCAGTATGGTTAACTTTTGATGCAGACATGACAGCCCATGTATTTATTTGTTCTCAAAATTTCCTGCACTCATGCAAAGCTTGGTTACTACAAATTACTTACCTGTAAATTTGTTTCAGAATGTTAACAAAAAAACCTGCAAATTTAGGTTTAAAAAGCCCTAGTCCAAAATTTGAAGACAGTGAAGGTCCTCTGGAAATGCTAATCTACTTTTAAACCAGGTCAACAGCAGGTGACTTTTCTAGAAATCAAAAATAATATAACCACTTATCTGTAAACACAACTGGGTGTTGGACACAGCAGTTGGGTAGGATCTCAAAAATACTTACAGATAGGTAATACTAATTCATCAAGAATTAATTGCTTCCTATGTTACTACCCAGAAAGCATGTTATGCTCAAAAGAATATCAATAGTCAGAAGATTAACAAAAGAACTGTCCTTGTCTAGAACAGACGACTTTCATCAGAAATTCAGCTTGGAAGTCAAAGTCTATAAACATACAGCTCAGGAAATATGTTCTCAAACCACTCCCTTTTTCCAATGTTATTTCACATCTCAAGCCAAAAAATAAGGCTCAGTATGAGATATGCTGCTTCCTAAGACTGCAAAAATACAGTCCTTGCTTGATAAAATGAACACATCTAGCTGCAGGCAATTGGTATTTACAGCAGAAAATATCCACTCCTTAAAGAGGATACAAAAAGAGAAATTCAGTCCACTGACTAAGGACATTATCATGAAATGCAAAATCAACATGTCTTCAAAGCTTCAGCCTGCAGTTCACAAACTAAAAGGCACTACTGGTAGTGAGTGTAAAAGAAGTCACTTCACTTACCTCAACACACGTTTAGAAGTTCAATTTCTAAGATTTGCTGTGTTTTTCCTATCTCTCAGCTTTTTTATTAGCACCTTAAGATAACACTACCTTTTTCAGGTGGTTTTTTTTTTTGTTTTTTTTTTTAGTCGCTTGTATTTATACCACAATGATCAGTCTAAAAACGTTCTTAGAGTATACCTCAGCATCCTAGAACTTCATTTATTAAAAAAAAAAAAAAAAAAAAAAAAAAAAAAAAAAAGACATTGTAGACTACTATCTTCTCTTTTGAAAGGAAAGGCCACTGAAACCAGTCCAAAACTAAAAGTGTGCTGTATTGGAATAAGATTCTTTAGCTATTTAAATAATTTTGCCAAGCAACTCAGTTTAAAGACCATGGCAGCACAGGTACTAGTAATGAACTATGACTACTTTTCTTAAAGCTACTTTTCTTATGTGAACTCACTGACCTAGCAATTTTGGGAAGTTAAACCATTTTGTATTTGTTGAAAACTGCCAACAAGAGTGAAACATGTTCAAAGTTGCACTCCATTTGCAATTCTTAATTATCTGGCTTCCACAGAAGTATCAACTTGTCTGAAGGACTAAAGTCACTATCTTTAAAGCAATTCACTAAATCAGTAGCATATACCTAAATAGGTGTAATTGCACTTAACAATCTACAAAAAGACGATGATTGTTCCCAAAGTACTACAGTGGGACCGTGTCCTTCAAACACATTATATACACACATGGAAGATAGAGCAGGTGATGAAAAGCTTAAGGTTTCCTGTTCTTTCAGGTTCCATTGACCAGCTGGATCATTTGCTACTGTAGTTAAAACTATCATGCATACCATCTATCTTACATGAAGTTGGTTGATATTCTTCCCTCAGGTAAGGACAAATACAGTGAAGCTGACAGGAAAAACCTTCATCAATTGCTTTTCTGTGAGGCACAAAAGCAAAGGTCAGGAAACAGTACTCTAGGAAAGACAACTTCAGACGCATCACCAACAGTGTTTTCCTGAACCAAGACACTACAAAACTTGAGTTCAAGTTATAATGTTACAAAACAGTAAAGAAACCACAGTGTGAAGAAATCTTTCATGATAGGCCTGTTACATGTGAGATCTGAAAAGCAATTAATTTGTGTACCACATAAGGACCACATGCATATGCAACAATTACAGGACATTACAACTGTACAGCTACTTCCCCTTGCAAAATGATGCAGTTTCAATTTTACTGCTGTAACATCCAAGTTAGGGCTTGAACCTACATCTCAAATTTCAGATAATGGATTTGGGGAAGGAACAGACATGAAATTATGACCTATTTATGAAAGGTGTAGAATGCACCAGCAGTCTTGGCAGTTATTACACAGTAGGTAAGGAAAACTGGTGACTGGTAACAGCACTGGAATAACTTCGGATCATCCATTCACATTGATCTGTTCAATCTTTACCCTTCTTTTATTACTTATTTGTCCTATTCTACTGCCCCCTGCAGCTGAAATGCTGACAGCCAGCAGTAATTGATGCTGCAAAACCTAGAAGTGTTTTTTACTAATGTATCTTTGAGTCAGGTTAAAAAGTTACACTGAATCCAGTAATTAAATTCTTATTCTGTAAGCAACGTCACAAACACACAATTATCAGAAAGATCAATCCTCTTCACAAAAAGGAAAATAAGCCTATAATACATAGCTAAAACTTACAACAATGAGAAGAACAAGAAAAATCGTATTCTGTGAAGAATTAAGTTCATACTGCTAAGGATAAGACTTTCTACCTGCACAAATAAAACTAAGTCTTTACCTATCACGCAGACTGAACACGCTAAAAAACAAAGACAAACACTAAAATGATCACAATTGCAATATTGCCTACTGTTCTGCTGATTTAATAAAGTTAGAATGTGAGTGCCAAAGAAATCTTGTTAAGAACGTGCTGGAAACAAAGATCTAGCTGGTATTTACCTTTGAAGAGAAAAGTTGTTTAGGCAAGCTAAAAACATTTGCAAGATCAAGCTTTGTCAAAAGAATGGACTAAAACAAAACAATACGCACTTCCAGCTTATGTTCCTTCTCTGCAAGAAATTCTTTTTGACATCGTAGAAAGTCTGACAACATTCGAGTTAGCTGTTTCCTATCATCTATTTCAGCTGCCAACCTGCCATTGTAATCCGCCAGCAACATACATGCATCGTCTACCATTTTGGAAAGTTGCTCTCCAGATTCCTTGTCTAAAAGTAAGCAGAGAGAAACAGGTAAAGCATGACTTCATTCTATGTCATTGAGTTTGCATAAGAGCATTTCTGTTACTGGACCCTCAACCCTCACCTGTTATCCTGTCTAACAGGGACACATCTTGGACCTCTATAGGCAAAGAAGCTATCCTCTGATGAACTGCTGCATCCCCAGAAGCAGCATTTTCTAGTTCTTGCAATGCTCTAATGAGATCCATGGTCTGAAAAAGCATGCAAGATTGAAGACTAGTTTAAATAGAGAAATCCTACTATAAAACAGTATTTCACAACAAGGTTATGGAATCAATTTAACAGTGTTTTTAAAAGCATTTATATCAGTATCATATCAACACTCTTTCCCTTTCAGACAAAAAAAAAAAAAAAAAAAAAAAAAATCAAACAAATGTTGCAGCATTCCTTAGTTTTATAGGTCACTTTTCTAAAACAGATTTTTCATTGAAGTTCTTGGCATAGGTCTACTTTATTTTATTTTTGACATTAATTATTATTTTACAGTACCTTTTATTTTATACACATTTTAAAAACTACTTTCTTATAGTTCTTATATTTTCTTTCACCTCACTACTCCAGACTAGATCAGCAAACTTCTTTTGGAAGTAAGCTGTTAAAAAGAAACACACTAAATCACGATTATTTCAGGAGTCATTCCTTGCTATAACAAAAACCTTTTGAAATGAGACAGTAGCAAAAAAAAAAAAAAAAAAAAAAAAAAAAAAAAAACACAACAAAAAACAAAATCTAAAAGAGCAAAAAAGAAAGTCAGGCAAAATAGAAAAGAACCTACTCAAGCATCATGACTGCAACACTGAAAGATATTTTATTGTTAAATGCTACAAATCTTATTCCAATTACACGTGTTATTTATTACCACACCAGAAATCAAAAGAGAACCTAAAACATTATCAAAGCTAATGCTAAAAGTCTAAAATGGGCAGAGTATGGTATACAGTTCACACATTTTTTTTGTTTTTGTGTCAATCCTACTGAAGTAACAGCACGTTCAATATCTTAGCTCCAACTTGTAACCCGAAGTACTTCAAGAAAGAAGTTTCATGAGGCTTGAAGTTAAACACAGTCCACAACCTTTGGTGGATTACACTTCACAAAGGGATAGCAAGTAACAGGCTAATTTTTTCATTACTTTTCAGAAGCTTCAATGTTAGAAGGTGTTACAGAGCCAATGGTTCCTTTATACTCCTAAGAAAAAAAAATCAGTGTAAATGTTAAGCTACCTTTTCCACAGAAGAACAAAGATTTCCAGCAAGAGGTATCGTCAGGAAACAAACTGATGTAGCCAGTAAGATTCATCTTGCCTCAAGGTTGCATGGACAGGTAAAAAGCACAGCAGTTTCTCCTTACAAAGCTAAAAGCTAATACGGGTCATAAAATACAACTAACCATAGACTGGGGAAATCTTGTATGCTATTGGGACGTAGTTCAGCCACTTGCACTAAAGAAAGGGGTGCGGTCATCCCTGTCCATAGAAGTAACTTATTAAAAGGAAAAACAGAGGCCATTCAAAAATAAGAGCACCTGGAAAATTATCTACAAAACTATATGCAAAAACAGAATTTTATAAATGTTGTTTTACCTGTGGAGGGTCAGTAGGAGAACTTCGAGGTGAACAGTTATTTTCATCAATTTTTATTTGTTCATACGTACGCTTCTTCACCTTTCTGTCTCCATCTAAATGAAAACAAACTGAAATTTATTTCTCTGACTCGTCAAACAAGGTGCTGTATTTTCGTAAGTAAACAAAATACTTACACAAAGCTTGCCTAAGTTGTTCTAATACATCATTTTCATAAACAGACCTTTCTTCCCAGATAGAGAGCACTCGGCCAAGGTGCTTTTTACAACTTTCATCAGACTCACTGTAACAAGAAAAAAAGAAAAATGAACACAAGGTGAAAATACATCACAGTTGAACTACAGTATGATTATCTTTCACAGAAGCATCTTGGCATGCCTTAAAGTATGAAAAGTTCAATAACATCAGAAAATATCGAAGCCCCAGTTTACAAAAAAGACCAGTTCAAGGTGTTTCAGCAAGGGCACCAACAGCAACAAAAACTGAGTGCCCAGTCCCCTGTTTCTATTTTAGTTTGCTCAATCCATTGTACGTCTGCATTCCCATTACGCAAAAGCTGCAATTTTTTTTTTATTAACTGCTCTAGAGCACTATATGAAAATAATGCTGTACCTAAGTTCTACCATTGTTCTAATACAATAGCCAGCTAAATAAAAATAGAATAAAATAATAAAATAATAAAAATAGATTTAAAAATATAGAATAGCCAGCTAAAAAAAATTAAATAAATAAAATCACAAACACCAGTAATGAAACGTACCAGATTGATGTAGCATATAAATGCAGACAGAAAATCTTAAAATAAGGCACTTCTAAGTTTTCTGAGGGAAAAATGATTAAACACAGATGAGTTTACTACATAACTTTATCTAACAGCATTAAGACTACTCAAGATCAAAAGAACATTAGAAGTATTAACGAGACTTCCGAGTACAGCATTAGCAGACAAGGACTACCTGGGTTAAATGGATGAACGGAAAACTAATCTGCTAAAATACAATGAAGGGCACTACACATAACAGCATACTCTACCTTGAAACATGTTTAAAAGCCTCCACTATTACTGGAGCAAAGTCTTTTGTAAACTCCGGTCCTTTTCTTTTGCTGTTCTGTATGACATCATTGGCCAAGTACAGGAATGTCAGCTTCCTATTTGGTTTTGCTAATAAAAAAAGAGAACAATAAATAAAACAGAATATTAGAAATACATAATTAGAAACACCAGTTTATCCAGAACATCTGTTCTTCCTTTGCTATATAATTGAAAAAGCCAAATTAAATGGTCTTTTTCCTATTCTCATTATCACAATATTTCATTTCAATTTTGTATTTATAAATGCACAGAGATCTTGGTCATACACTAATTTTTTTTTTTCTTCTGCACAACTGTTAGCTCACATTCTTCCTCTTCCTTTGTGACACAAGTTCCCTCTAGCTCTATTTCCAGAAGCAAGTATATAAAAAAAGTGTTCTTCAGGCTTTCAGGTGTTTTCCTGAGCCTGATGTACATGGATTACTTGGAAGCCTTCATTGATTTCTTCCAAGAACCTCAGTTCACCTTGGAGACAACATGAGTTTCTTACTCCCACTGAAGCCCTCTAACAAGGAGCTGTACAGGTCCACTACCATTCACATGAACACCACGTTTCTGGTTTGAACTTCACTCAGTCTTACATGACAATTCCTCATTTTCATGTTTGAGCAAACTGAATTGTCAATTTTTAATCAAGTTCTCCATGCTACTTTGATACTCCACTCACTGCCTGATCACTAAAACATTTATGTGCATGCAGCTGTAACCTCATGAAAACATTTTCAAAAATTGCTTTCTGACTGCTGTAGCTCTCTTTCCAAGCACTTCAAGCATTTCACCCCTATCTCATCAATCTGTAATAGAATGAAAACTTCCACCTCATGTATTTTCCATTTTTACTCAGTTATTTTAATTTATCATCACACCTGATCTAGTTTTCATGAGTTTTTGGATTTCTTCAGAGCTGCGAGTCTTATTCCAATTCTTCTAATCTTGTGTTAATAATGGAAAACTCTTCAATATCTGTAACTACCATACAAACTCAGTATGCATGCTCTCTCTTTAAAAGGTAGTTTCTCTTGAAGGAAAAGATTTAATAGTTTCCACCCTTTCAAGCACAGTTGTAAAAAAAAATCTAGAAATTTTTATATTTATTATTTTGAACTCCTATTCAGTTCCCAGGATGATTTTATTTTGCTAGTTTTCATTCCAATTTCTCGAACAAACCAGAGAAACACACATTTTACACACATATACAAAATCAACGCCGAGATAATTCTATTCTAAGTGGAATTCTGCACTACAGCAAGACTCCTATGAGGGATTTCTGCATAGAATATTGATCATTTCCTATAAACTTGGTGTACGTGTCTGTCCAAGAAAATAGAAATTTGGACACCTTGAAAAAAGAAAAAAAAAAACTGTATTAAAAGTAAAAAAGCACCTATCTGGAAATACAGTAACACATCTTCTATCTATGCTGCAGGTAAATCACAGTTCCAACACATAGAAAGATTTGAACTATTCAAAAAGGGAGTCTTAGAAAAAAGTCTGTCTTACAGCTGCAACAAAATAAATCACTTCTTAGAGCTGACCCCAGTTCCCCCAGTTTCTCAAAGGAACTAAAAATCAGGACTACAATTCTAATGAAGGAGATAGCTCACCATATACTACAAGCTCTGAACTGCAGGAAGGTTAAGACCTTGTCTGTCCCTTTCATAGAAAAAACAATGTTTCAGTCCTCAGTGTTGCAACTTATTTGTGACAGATTTCACCTTCTTGCATTCAGCAAGTAACCAAATCACCTGAGTCATGAAAGAAAGACTGGAGATGTATGCAGTGCTTTGAAATCAAGTGGCTGCAATTCTCAAAAAGACCATATTTTGTTCTCTACAATAAGCAGACCAGTGCATAGTGTTTGCAAAGAGATGCTAAAACTCAATTTCACTTTCAAATTTGTTTCCTCAAGTATTACTTTTTTAGCCTCTCTCTGCTGCTTAATTGTAACAGATATATATTAAGTAAACAAAGATCCTTAAAACACTGTTAAGCCTGCTCTGGCTTTGCATAGAAACCCAGCCTTTATGAATTCCACCTTTACATTCATAAGAAGTATTGCAAAGTAAAATCTAATTCTTCCTGTTGTAAGAATGCTATGTGCAAAACTGAAGATTTAAAATATATATACCTACATAGGTATATATATTTTATATATATATAAATACCTACGTATCTATCTCTAGAAGGGTTCCTTTCAACTTCTAAATCTTCAGGAGTTACATACTGGCCTACTATCACTCTGCCTCACACAAATATGCAAATGGGGTTGACAATTCTCAGCTGAGAAAAACAAGGTGTTCTATTGCTACCATGACAGTAAATTAACTACTGAAGCCTAAAATACAAAATGAAATCCCAGACTAGACCTATTCTAAAACATTCTGTTTAAAGCATCTCTCTTCAGCAACAGTGAAGATAACTTTACACCCTGGGATTTAATATACCAAGATGGATCACAGAGCAGTTTGCATATTTAAACAAAAAGAAGCGTCCTCGGTGCCAGGCAAAGTTAGTAGAAAAAAGCACTGTTAAAAGGAAACGAAAGAAAGCTGTGTATGATCTTAGGCTAAAGGAGGATTGCATGGTATATAATGCTAGACTATACAGTGCTAAAAGTAACTAGCCCATAGAGTCCTTGGTACACTAACAGTACAGTCTGCAAACATTAAATTATTATGAATGCAGGTTGGACTGATTCCAATTTTCAGAAACTCTGTGCAGTGTTCACATAACTCTTCTACTTACCTCAGATTTAACACCTTCCCCCTTCCACAGTCACCAAAGCAGCTCACAGAAGCACCAGATTGATATCTTTCAACAGGCCCATAGTGCTGGCTGGTATAAGGGTAGATTTCTCTTAAAGCATTCATAATGACACTTATGAGAGTCAACACCTGGCAGCCTGCTTCAAAAATATACCTTACACTTAATTGCACTGAATACTCTGCAGATACTCATTATATTTCACCTGCAACTAAGATAATAAGGCAGCAACCCTGGAGAGACTTTGCATCTTCTTTACCAAGTTTTAACTTTGGGTGATCTATGCCTCTTAGGAACACATACTTCTTAATCTTGCTTAGGGTCTCCTGGCTCTCTTCCAGTCCAATAAAGATCCCCTGGCATTGCATGCTTGAGCCCACAGTACTTGGAGAACTGTGATGCCCAAGAGCCATCACTTCAGTGCAAGAAACCAGTACCCTGGGAAGGAATTTACCCAGTAAGGCAGTATGATGGTCACATTCACTTAGGTTAACTCTGGTCATCAATAATTACACTTATCTGTCTTCTCCAGGTTTACCTTCCAACACTGGAAACTGAGCTCCCATGAAGATTACTAGAAACAGACCCATTTGTTTCATGCTGTTTTACCCCTACTTCCCTAGAACTGAAAGATACTTCAGAGACTCGCAGCATGGCTGAGGTTGGCAGGGCCCTCTGGGTCCACCTGCTCCAACCTCGGCTCTAGCAGGGCTATCCAGAGCACGGTGATCAGGCCTATGTCCAGGATACTTCTGAAAATCTTCAAGGAGGAGAATCTACAGCCTCTCTGGGAAACCTGTGCCAGTGCTATGGCACCCACACAGCCCAGAAGTGCCTCATGCTCAGAGAGAACCTCATGTGTTTCAATTTCTACCTGTGGTCTCTTTTCCTGGTGCGGGGCACCACTTAAAAGAGCCTGGCTCCATCTTCCATGCACCAACCCCTTTAGGCCTTTTAGACACCGATGAAATTCCCTGAGGCTCCTCTTCTCAAGCTGAACAGTCCCAACTTCCTCACTCTCTACACCCAGGGAAGGCATTCACTCCCCTGATCACCTTGATGGCACTCTGCTGGACTCCTTCCAGTATATCCATGAGAATTTGCTGCCCCAGACATATCAAAAAAATATCCAAATAATTTAAAAAAAAAAAAAAAAAGCATGTAGGCAGCACAGATTTTCCCTTAAAATGCATTACAAGTTAATGGACCACTGACACATCTGAAAACGTTAATGGTTTTGCTATGTCAACTGACCTCAACTGAAAGTAATATTTAACAAGAGGTTTTGAAAAAAAGAGCAACAGTAAGCTAAAAGCCCACATCAATTAACAGCTCTAACCACTTTTTTTTTTTTTTTTACTGAAGTCCTCTAATACAGTTTTAGATAAGAATTTCATTTGATTTCTTTTGAATTATGTTAGTCCACAGATATGCAGCAGAGTGTAACAATGTCAGCACTTCTCCCCAAATCCCCAGGTCATTTCCTGTGTCATAACATACTTTGTATCTTTTCATGAGAGTATGAATGACACCTTCCGACATACCTGACAATCATTCAAGCTTTTTGTACCGGCTTATCTTTTCAAATTAAACAGCACTGAAACTTGAGTGCAACCTCACTGTGAACTAACCTGAGTATTCAAGCAAGTTGACTAAGGCAGCACTTTCTGGAGCTATGATTGAATGCACATCTGTAAAAAGTAATTCAAGAGTCCATCATCAGAAAAGAAAATTTAAAGATAAGGTAACCCACAGAAGTGCTGTTATAAGACCAGCACATAAACTGAAAATTCATTAGTCTTCTACCATGAAAAAGTTAAAGCAAGTGTGCAATACTGCAAACTCATATAATTCTCCTGTTGAACATGATCAAGGTTTAAGAATCATTGTCCTTCCTTTTCTAAGTGGATATTACCTACACAATGCATGTCCAAGGTTTGATGGTCCAGGTATCTAGTTTTGGATTTGGAGGCTAATAGTGAAAGGAAACAGCCTACAGCTGGGAAAGAGGCCACCAGCATTCAATTACAACAGGGACACAAGAGAGACATAACCAAATAAGACATAAGAGAGACATAACCAATAACCAAAAGAGAGTCATAAACCAAATAAACCATTCCAACACAGTCATTCTGCAGAAATGTCCCTGTAGCACTTTGTATATCTTGAATTGCCTGAATATAAGAATCAAGTCAATTCCTTCACTGCCTGGCTGGGACGATGTCAAAATGGATGTAAATCAACAGTTTTAGGATAAGGAAATTCATATATATATATATATATATATATTCAGAACAGAATTACAA